ATCATAAAGCATAAATCATATATATGCATTTGTAAATTAGATGCAAATTTATATAAAGCAATATAAATTATAATTTTTAAGGAGTAAAAACATACGTGGTCTGGTGAAGTTATTTGAGCACCCATTATATTATATATATTTTAATTAATAATTAAAAATTTTTCATTTCTTATATAAAATATTAGTGCTTAAATGTATCAGAATAAATGTAACATTGACATCCTATGTATTCATATTTATTTTTTTTAAAGTATACATATTTTTTTTAAATAATATATATTTTTTATGTATCTTTAGACAGAAAATAATAGGAGTATCAACCATTTGGAATAAATCAATTATACTTTAATATAAATGCATATCGCACAAAGAAGGGATTTCTAACTTTGTGTTTATAAATAAATGTCAAAAATAATTTTTAATATTTTCATATACACAAATAAAATGTAACAGAAAAGATATACTATATAAGAAGATAAATAGAATATATTTTGTTATAACAAATAATGTGTGCGAAATATTATACATATGATTATTGATTTTTTATACACTGCTTGTTAATGGTTATAAGTATAAAAAATGACGCATTATCAAATACATTGATTTTTATTTCTTCTAAAATTATGTGTTTTTTTCTTTCTATTACAGCAGTAAATACTCTTAATAAAATTATAAGCTGTATAATTAATATTAATTAAATACTCATAACAATTAGAAATGTATTATTGTGGCTTGATAATGCACTTTACATTAAGTATACTATTTGTTAACAAATTGCTCTTATTATTAAATGCTCTGCAAGAAATATGAATATTACCTTAATAAAATTTACTGAAAAAGTAAAATCATTTATTAGGCTTTGAATATTATATCCTTTATATAATATATCACTATGCGATTTTCTCTGTCATGAGATTATATTTACATTGCTTCTTTGACTATAACAATTATATATGTATAATAAGGAACAGATATTCCGTTAGAAAAGCATTAACTATATTAAATAAATAAAGACATTTTTTTTTTTCTATATCAATTTTCATTATTTAAATTAATTTTGAAATATTAATAAAAACAAGATAGGAAATATTATTTTAAATAAATGTGTATATTATATGATGAATAATTTAAATGTTCGAAACTCATTAATAATATATCATAATTATTTTGTCTATAAAGCTATATTATTGAAGTTTATTTGTATATACAATTTTCAAAATTATATAACTACTTCTAATAACATTAATCTCCAAAACAAGTGGAAATAATTATATATATATATATACATATACATATTTACCTAATTTAAAAAAATAAAGTTGGACAAGGATATGCGTATGCATATTTTATATTAATCAATTTATTTTACATTCTGAAAACTTGACATTGAAGATGGATTCTATATATATTAATGATATTTTTATCTATAAAATATTGAGAATAAAATTAGTTTTGAATTTAGAGTTAAAATATTTTTAATAATTAACATATACTTGAGGTATTATATTTTAACTTATAAGATTATAAATAATAACATATATATGTGTTATAATATATATACATAAATTTTTTTTATAAAAAAAATATGCTTATATATTCCTACTAAATTACTAACTTTATATATTATTAAATATTATATGCAACTGTATCCATGAAACTATAGTTAATGATAAAAACAAAAAATATTATAACCCTATTTCATAAATTTTTTTATAAATTATTTATTTTTCTTATATTCAAACACATATATAGTTAGTATTCTCTACAACATTCATTAGTTTTAATGCATAAACCTATGTAGATTACATAAATAATTAAATTCGTGTAGCATAAGGCAAAAAAAAATTATATAATATTATTTTGATTTACTATGCTAAAAAAAATTATATATTCCAGTATATTGAAATGTAATAAAATTTAACAAGTATATAGTGACATTTTGATGTAGTTCAAATATCATAAATGTGCCTATTACATGAAACAGAGATTCAAATGTACAACTGTAAAATTCTTCTATGAACGTATAAATATTTAGAGTAATCTATATATAAATCATATTTACGAACTAAATAATATTTCTTGAATTCAAACAAAATGATAAATAACGCAATTTACATAAATATAAATGTGCATACATTTTTTATGTTTTAAATGAAAATTACTATTTTTCCTATTTGCATAATTAATAAGGTACTGCATACTTATTTCTTCATTTAAAAAAAACTTAGAAATATATATGCTATCAGAATTATCATATCATAATTTTTACATTAAAAATTAATAAATTAAATTTATTATATTTTTATACTTTAGTGTGTTTGACATCAATAACCATATAAAATTGAGTAATTTATTATTTTTATATTAAAAACTCATCAATAATATTTATACATATATTAAAAAAAAAAATTTTTTTTCATTTCATCATTTACATCATATAGTAATAAGTTTTTAATTGTATAGTATATAAAAATATTCAGAATAAAATATTAGACGAATATATTTTGATATATCAAATTAACCTACATGCAATATTAGGCATTTGTATTAATAAATCTTATAGTTAAAGGGTTCTGTTACTTTTATAATGAGTATTTCTATTTTAATTTTTATTAGGTCGCATGTTTATTGTTTACATTTATTTTTAATTATGTGATGTGAAAGTTTTAGGGAAGTTTAAATATAATAATTTATACTATAAACTGAATATAGGTTTATGAAGGATTTAAAAAAAGTATGTTATTGACTATATTATGTTGAGGTACGTTAAAATATTATAATTTCCCCCTTTTTCTTTGTGGGCATTATATATAAAGGTTATAATTATAATTTTTTAATATATGTAATTGAAATACAATTACTTTTTAAGGAAAAATTCAATATTTCAAAAAAATATTTTGCTTAAACTTTATAAAACTTATGCTCTAATAAAAATTTATTATTATGGATTATGTTTGTGTTATTTGTGTCTATGATTTTGTAATGTATCAAATATGTTTAACAAGTTTTTTATATTTCAGTGAATGTGTATATGAAATTTAATTTTTTGCAAATGTATAGTTTACAATATAAATCGGATATTTATATGATAAAAGTACTAAAAATTATAATAATAATTTAGTAGAATCAGAAAAATTATAAACAATTATGTTATTTTTTAAGAATATAAAACAAAATGATATAGTAGTGGAAAATATAATAAACACAACATCTAACATAATGAAAATATAAATGAATAATATTTATGAAATTTAATTTATAAAAATATGTAAAAATTTTTAAATATAGATGTAGTGGTGTTTAAATCATTTATCATAGAAACATATTGCTATGTGATTTATTTGTCATACTTACATTCCTCCTTCGTATAAATTATAATAATAGTAAACGCATCTTTCAATAAGGAATTATTAATTGGGAAAACAACAAATAATTCTCACAATATTTATAAATTTAGTTTTTCTATCCTTTTTATATATTTTTTTAAGTGTTCATTTATAGCAATTGTAATGATGGCATATATAAAGCAAGAATAATGTCTTTCACAGTTATCTATGTTTTAGTAATGAAAAATATAAAACATATAAATATATTTTTATAATTATAAATAATAAAAGAACATTTCTCTTTTTTTTTTTAATATAGTGTTAAATGATTTTTATAATTGACATAAGCAGAATAATGATAATATATTTTTTCATGTTTCACCTTTTTTCTGTGTTTCTGTAAACCTTTTATTTTTAAGTGGAAATTTAATTTTAGATAAATTGCTTTTCTTATATATATTATCAAATGGGATATGTATAGATAATACTTGTTTCATAAGAGTAGAATATAATGTTCATATTAAATTAGTATTCGGTATAATTTTATACAAATTACTTTGAAGTTGTTAAAATATATGGAAATTCCACTATCTACATATTACAAGAGTAATCGTATATTATATTACAATTAAATTTGTATTTTAAGAAATTTATTAATTATATAATTTAAATATCATGCATGCATATTATTCATTTCTATCAGTCGGCTAAGGAAATATCATATTATATAAAAATTTAATAATAATATATATTTGTGAAAAGTTCAATATTATAGAAACAAAAAAAAATTTAATAAAGGCAGAAGAAAATATACAAAGTATAAAAGAATGATAACATAAGATAAGAGTATAAAAGATAATTTACATATAAAAAAGTGCCTCAATATTTATGAATTTTGTAATCAGTATTCTTGTATATATAGTAGATAAATATATATTTCTTATTCAATTATTTTCAGTTAGTTTTTTCAAAATTATACTATAAAATTTTTTTAAATGTATTTGTTTATATATAAAAATAATATTTAATGCAAAATATCAGTTATACTGTGGAGTATTAATACACAACATGTACATATGTTAGAGATAATTATAATCATTTACTTTTTAGTTTAATAGAATAAATTAGTTGTTAATTCAGTTTATTCATTATAAAATTTACATCTATTACAATAGACCTTAATATATGTTACATAAAGAAATTATAATTTTGGTATTATATATATCTTGCGCTTCTATGATTTGGATTTATTTCAATTTCATGGATATAATTTAAATTTAGCTGGTACATTTTATATTAAAAAATGCTAGATTAGAATGTTGGCACGTAAATTACATTTGGTGAATCTACAATTTATTAATTTTATAATATTTAATATTGTTCATATATTTTTGGAGATTTTAATTTTTTTTTTATATATGATAATTTACTTATATAATAAAATCAATTGATTAATTTATATAAATATTATTATTTTCTACTATTACACTGAATTTACAAATATATTGCTATTGTTAGTTTTTAATTAAAATAATGGTTTTATTTTATATATTTCATGATATCCTTTTTTTGATAGTTTCCTTGTATGAATTAGATCATAATTAATATTTGAAAGTCTTGATAATAATTATAATATTAAAATATATTTTGAATTTTATATTATAATTTTTATATTTACATGTTTCCATAAGCAATATCATATCTCTGATTATATGAATTACTATTCATATTACCAGGTATATGATATAATAATTCGTTATCTTCACCTCCACTATAAATTTCTTTTGTTCTTTTTGTTGCTTGTGTGGAACGAAAGAATTTACCAATTGGAGTAAACTAATGAAAAAAATAACTTTTTTATATATTTAAAAATATTATATATTAATTTTTTTATTTAATAGTAGAGTATAACATGAAAAATTTCTTGCATTACTGTTCATTTTTTTTTAAATGTCATTGTATCGACCTTATAGAACAAAAACAGAAAGGAAGAAACAGCGACAATTGTAACAAGAATTGTGGGTAATATATTTATTAATGAAGAATTTAAATTGTTAGTTTCAGAATATTGTAATGCGCTTATTGTGTCACTCAATTTGTTCCCTACAAATTTTATATCTTCGTCGGCTCTTAATATTGATGCTCGATTTTCTATTTCTTGTACCTTTATATCATCATGCGAGGTACATCTAATTGTGTTTATTGTTTTTGCAGATGTTAATGATGGTATTTTATGTTTTATAGATGAAACATTATAAAGGTATAAATTATATGTCATCATAAAAGTTTTTAAATATGAACAAGTTTTAATATTTTCTGTAATATTAGCCTTATCATTAGAGCAATATTTGTCATTCATGTCTTTATATATATTTGCGCCGTTAATGACGAACATTTGACAAGAACAGCTTATTGAATCATTGTTTTCCTCCAATATTTTTTTAATAATGTCCATATTTGATTGAAAAATATTTAATATTATTATGTTAGTAGGTTCTAAATAATCTTCATCATATGAAGAATATGGGCATGTATTTTCTTTTAAAACATAATTATTCGACAGGAATCTAATAGTACCGAAAAGTTTACTTATAAAATTACTATCGAATTTTTCTTTTTTCATAGAATTACATAACCAGTTGTTCAAATCATTGCAATAGCTAGACTGAGGCTTGCATTTATTTGGATCACCACAAAGTAGATTATAATTTCTTACAATCTTCTTGCAATAATTAATGTACTTTTCTTCATTCTTTTTTAACAAACCCGAAACTGTAATGCATATATTTTCATATATCTGATTTGTTACAGTCTTTTCCACTGGATCATCAAAATTATCAAAAGAATCCCAAGTTTTACTTAAAAAGGGATACTAAAATTAAATAAAATATACATGAAATTTATATTAACAAATATATATTCTAGGGTTATAATGTATTGCATAAAATTTAATATTTATATTAT